TATCTCAATCAAAATCAATAATTAACTTTCACCATACTTTTTTTTTTATAATCATGGATGTCCAAACCAACTTGCGGGTACCTCGACTAATACCATGAGACCCTGAAGTTTACGATCAGGTACTCACCTCAATGTCCCTGAGGGGACTCGAACTAGTGACAATTGGGGAGCAAACCCAAGACCTGATCAATTGAACAACCGCTCAAAGTTAACTTTCACCATACATTTTATCATCACAAATTTTATCAACTTTTATCAAAATTTATTAAAATATTAATTTTTATTTAATTCAACTTGGGTTTAGTTTAAAACAAAATGATTGAGGATTGACACAACTCTCTTTGGAATTGGAGTCGTCATTGTGACGGGGAATAATGCTAAACAAACAGAAGCTCTAACCAAAGCCCTGACCTAATTTTGTCATTTTGTGAGACAATTGTCTATTTTACCATTATCTCTATATTTTAATTGTTTTCGTTTTTTTGACCATATAATTGGTATCAGAGCCTAGTAACGAAACTAAAGAAAATTTTTAAAATGAATAGAAAAGATAAAATGATTTTAGAAGAATTACAAAATAATAATATTTTAACTGATACTAATCGAATTAAATTACAAGAATTAGCAACAAATTGAAGTGTTAAATATAAATCTCTAAGTGAAGAGATAAAACAAGTAAATAGTTCTCAACAATTAGTAGAAATAAAAAATAAAGGATTACAAATATTAGTAGATGAATTTTCTGAAAATGAAGAAGAAGATATTATTATACATCAATTTTTAGAACAATATGATAATTTTGCTCAATCTTTAGGAGAAACGAATATTTTAAACCAAGATATTTTAACTCATATAAAAAATATCGAGTCTAATTTGAAAATTGTTAATGACAATATTAAAATAGGACCAAAAATCCTATATAAAGAAATTGAATCTAAATTTAAAGAATCAAAATTTAAGGATTCTTATGCATCAATTGAACCACCTTTACTGGCATATGTTATAGAAGAATTAGAAACTAAATTCTATGAAGCTACAGGAGAAGAATTAAAATCTTATAAACAGAGTTTCGAACAATTAGCTATTTAAATTGAGAATATTTATATGAATGATCCACCCAGAGAAAAAACCACTGAAATAAATACTCCACCTTTAAATCAACAAGTTGAAATACAAACATTAGTTGGAGAAACAAGTA